AGAGGAATTTGAAAACATCACCTTTCTAAAATCCCAAGTGGACTGAAATTGCTCCAAGAGGTTCAGGTCAAGAACATTCTTCTTCTTCCTAAGGTCTAACATAGTAGAGCAAAGAAGTGATGCAGACTGATGAGAGAAGTCGTGCCATTTCTGTATTGGGAGTTTAAAGAACAGGTTAGACACACCTCTGACCAAAGTGGTTAACACTTACCAGAGAAAGGTTAAGGTCTGCCAGAGAACTACATGCATCTCCCAGAACTTGCTTGAAAACTGGGAAATAAGGTGACTTCTGGTTTATTTTCTATAAACATCAACAGGAAAAGGAAACACCCTCCCCCCTTTGAAACACAACCCTTGTTCACAAAATATATATCCAAATTATCTTAAAGGCAATACCTTTAGGTTAACGTTCAGACATGAAGCACAACATGCTGTTGCCACAGTGCTGTAGCTATTTACTAGTTGAGGATTGCCACTGTTCCAAAGCAGCAGCAAAGTTGATGTCCCACGACATGCAGCAAATCTACTGGTGTTCCTCAGGTGCAGCTGCCAAGAAACATCTCTTGCTTCAGCAAAGAACATAGTCCAGCATCATTTTGGCTCCACAAGGGATGCGGATGCTGCGAGAGGCAAGCCCAGGGCACTAAGGAACTAAAGGGGATGGGGTCAGCCCAAAGGATGCTGAAGCATCACTCCATGGAATACACAGGGTCAGAGATCTTACAGGGGACATTCTTCATCAGCAAATGACAGTTCTAACGTGTCACTTGTGACTCCTCTCACAAATCTCTTCCCAGACCCCAGTAGCTCATTTTGTCATAGACTCAACCAGGTTGGAAAGACCTTTAAGCTCATCCAGTCCAACCATTCCCAGCAGTGCCAAGGCCACCACTAACCCCTGGCACTGAGGCCTCGTCTACCCGGGCTGTGAACACTTGCAGGGACGGTGACTCCAGCCCTGCCCTGGGCAGCCTGTTCCAATGCCTGAAAGCCATCAGTGTTGACCACCCAAAACTACCCTGACATGTAGCCTACCCTAGGGCTAGATGGAGGCTTCAAGCTTTCAGTCTCTCTCTCTCTAGCTTCCAGGGAAAACCAGCTTCCGCAGCAGCCCGTATGCAATTCCCAAGCTCCGACACCTCTGTACCTGTTGAGCCGAAGTGAAACATTTACCTCATGAGCTGATTTTGACCAGACTGGTTTGTAAAATCACACCCACCCTCCCCAAATGATTCAACCAATAACTCGCCCTTTACCAACAATTTTTAGGGGCTATTTATGCATGAAAACAACTTAAACCTACAGAAACTCCCTCAATGCTCCAATATTGCTCCTGCTGCAAAACGTCCCTCTGATTCCTTGTGTTCTGCACCCAGCATCCCCAGGCCCCATCACATTTGCTACCTCACAAGCTGCTGCCTGTTGGAGAACTATGTGCATGCTCCTTTAAGAATTCCTGCCAAAACAAAAGAGGAAGCAGCAGAGTTATTCCTTCCCTTTCCCACAGCACTGGAGGACTGAGCAGGCAAGCCAACTAATCATGAGCATAGAAATAGTAACACCTTAGGACACGAGTCCTTCAACTCCTCTCTGACAGGAACCCAGCCAAAGAGTGCAGGACTGAGAGGGAGGAGATGGGGTTTATCCAGGGAAGAGGACATTCACATGGAGACAGTGCAATTATGCGTCTCATTTCCCTGTGAAACTGGGCTGAAACTCATAAAACATGCAGAACTCTTCAATAATAGCAGTGCTATTTTGAGCCAGGGGGGTTTATTATTATTATTTTTGAGGCGTTCAAGCCAATCCACATTTAATTCCCATTTTCCAGAGGAAGAGATCAAGTTCTTTGCTTTGCCTTTGCTGCCTGCGTGCAGAACTCAACAAGAGAGGATACATCACATGCTGTAAACTCTGAAGGGGAGAAACAAGGCAACGGGAATCTTGCGATGTGTGCCAGTTCAGTAAACCCAAAACCCAGCAACATCATGCAGTAAAAATGGTATTTTTAAGGTGAAGCAGGAACTCACCCATCTCCTTTTGTTCACCATTCTGAAGAGCCCAAACACACATGTGGACGTGTGTAAGTGCACTGTAGCGACCAAAAAGCTCCAAAGCCTCAGATTAGGTCATTCCAAATGAGTTTTTACATTAGAACAAGTTAAAGAAGTTCTTGGAAGCTTCATTACTGTGTGGCAGGGACTTTGTTAAGGGCTCTCGCAAGGTAATTGTGGACTACGAATAACTTTTAATAGATGATCATCCTTTACAGTTAGATGACTTTAGTCCACTGATTAACTCTCCCAAGGCCTATTAGATAGGAGATAGGATGCTAAATCCCACTGTTCTGGAAAAATCAGTCTCTCTCCTTGTCCTCTGTGTAGATGAGGAAGGTAAGAAATATTGCATGTGTTGTACGACCTGGGAGAGCCTATCTTCGAATCTTGACCACATTCCCAGCTTCCCACAGCCTTTCCTACACAGAGAGATGAGTATTTGGTGAAATTACTTAAAAGAAAAACTTGGTCACCTCAGCAAAGCTCTGAACTTGAGGTTTGCTCGCTCTGGAATGGAGTCAGGTCTAACAGATCCAGGCTTCAGCCTTATCCCTACCTAACACAACGAAGTCCTTGTAAGAAGCCTTGCTCACTGTAGAACATTTCACACTGGGAAACCTGCTTCTTGAGATGGGTGAGGGGATTTATATACCTGTTTGCAGAGAAAGACACAGTTGTCAGCCTTTCTTCTAGTGTTTCAACAGGACTACTTACTATCTAAACAGAAAATAAGATATATTAGCTAGAGTAAACCAGGGTGTGAAATTTAAGGCCTTAAATACTGCAGATAAATGCCTGATGGGTGCTGTCGTGCTGTAAAACACTCTAATGAAGTGTTTTATTCACTCGCAATGAATCAAAGGGATTTTCTTTTGCAAGATGGCTTACTATGGAACTGAAAATTAACGGAAAGCATCCAAAATGGCAATTCCCAACTAGCCACATGAGCTGTTACTCCTGCAGGGCAAAGGTGTCTTGTAATAACACGTGAAATCACCACACACATGAAAGCCTTGCGAGTGCATTCACTTACATTTGAAGGTTTGCCCCTGTTTTTAGTCAGAGTGGCTCTGGTTCACTTCGCTTCTATACTGTATTTGCCAGTGGACGTTACCTGGTCGAAGAATCACTTTTGGACTTTCCCAACCGATGTCATTGGTCCAGTAGAGAAAAATCTAGTCTAAGGAACCTTATTTGTAGTAAAATTTTAATAAAAATGATGCTTTGCATTTTCACATTCCCAAGAGCTAAAAATACAGAAACTTATTTACATTTGGTAACAACAAAACGGTACAAATTACTATACAAAATGCAGTCCCGTCTCAAGAAAAACAAGGTTTGGAAAGTTCGAGCAGTTTAGGATATGAAACCTGTATATTCTGAAGAGATCCCACGTTAAAGACTACGTATCAATACCACAGCAGTGATTTTCTTCACCGAGTGAGTGAAAAACGCTTTCATGACAATCATGACTATCATTGCTTTTAATTTTGGCTGATACAAATATAACCTCCTAATAAAAGTTCCTGAATTGATTTAAAGAAAAAAGTCAAATTCAATATATATTCTTTCCCTTGAGGTTTTTGCCACAGAACTCTTCCAAATGAGAGAAGTATAGAAACTTCTTCTGAAGGAAACAAGCCTGGCACGAGGTTCACATTTCTAGTGGAAACATGCAGGCACGTTCTGATACGCAAAAGGCAGTAAGACACGGTTTTACTTCTCAAAACATGGGAAATCATATTGTATAGATGGAAAACTGAAAAGACCAGCTCTACCAGACCCTTAGCTACTGATCAAGTCAACTGGGAGACAGTCACATCAATGTGTTTGGGTGCATGAGTTGTAAAAGGATGTAGATTCCTGTGTTTCAGGTATGGATGATTCTACTGGCATTTCAGACTGGGTGATCACTGCGCTATAACTTAAGTCCTATCTTTGGTGTATTTCTGATAAATGTATTTTATTTTAGGTACTGAAGACTAATGCAAGCCCCCTATGTTGCACCGTGACCTTTGAAAAGCTGATAGCTATTGATTTGAAAGCCAACCCAAAGAACAGGTAGCATCAGGTCACAAAGAAAGCTGACATCAATAAATCTGCAGTAGTCGTACTGGAGAAGTGACAGAGATATGCTTTGAATGGAACACTGACACCCTTTACCAATGTAATGTTTTGGGATCATACAGTTACTCTTAAAAGAAGACTGTGTACAAGTTTTCATCCTATTGCTAATCGAGGGGGAAAAAAACCCCCACAACAATCAGTTCAAAGTAATATGAAGAAACACTATCAAAGTGTCCCAACTGTTTTTACATTCAATTTGAACCCATGTCTCCAATGAGGTGAAATATCCTGGTCTGACATATGCATGGTCCACTTATCTAGCATTAAAAAAAGCGCCCAACTTTGTGAGTGTAGCCCATGAGTATATTGTATGATTAGTAGAAAACCTTTAGCAGACACAAAAAAAATGAGAGATGAAACTGCAGCAAGAGAGCATGGCAAACCTGAGAGATCTATTAGTGCATAAATCTGCTTCAAAACTAAAAAGATAGAAAGAGAGAGCTAACAAACTACAATAAAAGTTATGTCTTTAAAGCAGTAAGTTACAACAGGGTGGGAAATGTTTCATATGCACATATGCCTGCAAAGGGGTCGCTATCTTTGTGAAAATAAAGAGCTGGTATTTTTCACAGCATCAGATTTTGGTAAAATGCCATAAATTGTATTTTGGAGAATTATGCTTTTCCCACCCTGGCAGAGAATAAACATGAATTTAGAAGCACAGTAGAAGTGAAAAACAAAGAAGAGGAGAGAGAGAAAGCAGCAGAGAAAGACAGAAAAGGTGAATACAGAGCTACAGAAGTGTTTATTGAGCATGCTACAGAGGTAAGCAGAGTACACACAAAATGAAATTAAACCACCGTCAAACCTCCCAACTTTGTTAGAAAATTAATTTTTAATTGTGCCACTTTCAAACTAGACTGAATTTTACAATTCTAAAGATGTAAAAACTCAACTAATAGAAAATATACATGACCATTTCTTTTTTTTTCTCTCTCTACATAGATAACAGAATCTATGGATCTTGAAACTAAGTACATCAATTCCAAAAAGTATTGGTCATTGAAACAGAATCAAGGTAACAACAGTTCAGCCTGACAGAGAACTGCTTTCAAATTAACTGGATCTGTAGATTCTGAGCCATGTTTATAGTAAAGTCAGATCGATTTCTAAATACAAAATAGTTTGAAGAGATTTATTAAAACTGAATATTACAATGCAAGGTAAATTAAGACTAAAGGCACATAAACTTTGGTCCCACCTGGTTTGTCAGTTTGAGGAAACTGCCCCAAAATTTCCTGCCAGCTTCTGCAGCAAACTTTCTTCTTCACTGAAAAAATACATGCACCATTTCCTGAACTAGCTTGACCAGTCTGTACATGCTCAGAAATCCACAACCATATTCCATATCTTAATTACAAACTAAAGATGGCAATATATATTGAAATGCACGTAAGTCATGTCAACTTCAAAAAACATCTACGAAAAATATTCAGCCACAAACAAGACATTACTTAGTGCTGACATTTATATGATACATCCCACAAGAGTGTGTACAAAAAGGTTAAGATCCCACAATGCTTTTCACGTAGGGCTCAAAGTCACAGAAGTCACTTTTTGTCCTTTGAAGAAATTAATGTTCTGTACCTTGTTAATTTTAACTAATGCCTACATTCAGAACTGAATCTAGACCAGAACGATGAAATACTAAAGGCCTTTTCCAAGCAAATGAGCACAAAGCAAAACAGTAGCAAATCAAGTAACGTCCTTTTACTCTTCCGGCGTAATGCATCTTATCCAATTAAAAAGAAAACTAAGTGACAAGCCAGCAGGTAAAAGAAATCTATCAAGCAGGAGAAACAAAAGCTTAACCTTTTTACACACCCCTGCCAAAACATATTGAAATCATCATGTAACAATGTGCCCCAGACAACCAAATTTGCTTTTTCACTAGTTATGCAATTCCAGCAGTACTAGTTCTCCTTTTTTAAGGCACGTACGTCAACTAAGTTGAAAACCTGTGGTATTAACTTGAAATCTTTTCAACAAAAGGATGGTTTATCAACAACAGCTGAACACCAGCAGTTAGTATCACTGCTTTGAAGGGTTTAAGTTTTTAAAACAATCAAGGAATGATAACAGCATGAGAAGAAAATAATAAAAAAAACCCTAAAAACAAGAGAAGACAAACTCTGGTCCCCACTTTCCTGAACAGTCAATAGGTGACAACACCAAACAATGCAATACACCTCCTTTTCCAATTTGCCTTTTTAGATGGTTGACTTCGAGAAAGAAACTCTCAGATGGTGATTCTCTCCCAGATTGTAATTGTGAAGATCAATCAAAGCTTGAATAGCTTCTTCTACTGTTGACATCTGAAGAAGTGCCATCTTGTGATCTCTTCTGAAACAAAATAACGGTGTTAGGAACTCGAACACAACAGGGGTTTCTCCTAGTGTCTGCTTTCCCGTAAGACATGCTGCAAGAACACAACTTAAGTCTTTCGGTAGAGCTACGTACAGGAAAGTTACTTACTGAAAGAATTTAAATGCTTTCACAGTGCCTCCAGTGTTAGCAAACAATGTGCGTAGATCCTCCTCTGCTACCGATGGTCTGCGGACAGAAAGGGAACGAGCATAAGCAAGACAGGGTTAGTCGGTTGGCTGTGTTGTGGTTCACATCAATACAACTGGCTGACTGAGAGCCAGCACTTACGGAATATTGGACAGATGAAGTGTTGCAGAAGGAGGGAATATATTCTGGAAGTTTTTTGAACCAGGTTTCTTGAAGCGATGCAGAGGTGAATTACCAAAATCCTTTGTCAGCCCTTGGTCATCAAGTCCCTCTCGAGGTAGTTGTACTGTCTGATGTTTAGAAAGGGTAACCCGAATTATCTTGCCATACATTTTTTGTCCATTAAGATGGCTCATGGCTGAAAAAGACAGGTTTACTCAGTTCAGTGTGACTTTACAACAGCTTGTGGTACGTCGCCCAAGCAACCAAGACCACCGCCCAAGCAAATCAAAGGGTCAATGAGCTAAAAGGCAGGAATTGATTCCAGCTCTGCAGAATCTGCATGAATATTTCATTTTACTGAAAGTCTATCACATGCAATTAAGCTGTTGAATTCATTTAGGCTATTGTGCAGACCTTCTGGAATACAAGTGCATGGATTTTGGGGATAACCAGGATACAAGACAAACTGACACAAACGTGAACACGCTCAGTTCACCTCGTTTTACACAGTGTAATTTCAAGCACTTAAGACTAACGGGAATAGAAATGGAAAACTAATCTTACCCAGCTGTGACTGGTTTCCATCAGCCATCTGTATAAGAGCACTGTCTTTCTTATTGTATAAAATCTTCACACGCTGCACGTCACCATAAACACCTTTTCAGAGTCAAAGGTAACCCAAAAGAAAAAGTTCATTTTAAAGCCAGTCACCTAAGTAATACACTTTGACATATCAATGGAACATTCAGACAGCAACGAGATCACTCGCTCAAACTCAACGCTCTCACAAATGAATAAAGGAGATAAAGATTTCTGAATAGTGAATTTTGAAAAGAATCATTTCTGATAAACCCTCAAAGCTATGTGAATGATATTAAATTAAAGACCATGCAAAATATATTAGCATGCATTAAAAGAAAATAAATAAAAATCAATCAATCTGTGTTCTATGGAGAGTTTTCAACAGCAAAAGAAAAATAGCAAAAAGATTTACTATTCAAACTTTAAGCCAAAGTGCTAGCTACAAATAAGAATTAAGGTGAAACAAAAAATAGAAAACCAACCAAACAAGAAACCAAAATCAAACCAATAATAAAAGTATAGTGCTAACAATAACATACCGAAGAGGGTAAACAGACTTTGGGGCGTAACCATCTTTAGAAGGAGAGAAGAGCAAGCAGCGTAAGACATAGAGCGGAGATGAACAGATCATCCATAACGAAGGGTGGTTCCCGCAGAATGGTGAGGTGGTCATGGATCATGGTTTCAAGGCGGTTAATTGGGGCAAGTTGGTCCGAGGAACATTTTGTTCAAGCACAGAAGCATGAACATAGGGAATGAAGACAGGGAATGGAGACAAAAGACGAGGAGGAGGGTAAGACAGGGAAGGGGATGGGAGTTGGGGGAAAGACAAGGAAAAGGGAAGTTGAACACAAAGGGAAAAGGATGAAATGGGGGAGGGGATACAGCAATGCAGAAGAAAAAAAATAAGGAAGTGGGGAACAAAAACAAAATAAAATATAGGTCAGTACATAGGAAATGCAGGAATTTGGTCAGAAAATGGTTGGTTTATGTACTGTACAAGAAAAACTGAGTAAAATGTAGTCACCCAAGACAAATATGGGTAAAGTACATTCATATCAAGAGTCAACTACAGCATTTCATCTCAACATGAAAATAAATAAAAAGAGCATGCAATAGAACTTTTCAACTTGGAACTTGAACTGCGTAAGCATGGCTGGCTATGAAATGCAGGCAAAACCTCCTTCCAAACGGCACTCTGACCAAAAACATCTTCACATGCAAGACTGGATGACAAAATAGCACCAGATGATAAAAAAAGCTTCATGATTTACAGTGACAGAGGCCAGTTAAAAATGGAACAGCTAGACTGATACAAACTTCCCACATTTCATACCAGCTTTCACAGCCATCAAAAGAAATGTAAAAGGACAGTCAAAATGCAAAACTAAATCAACCCCTGGAGATTTCAGAGTTAGCAAGAAAGATACAGTTAAGGTGAAAATGCTTTGCCACCAGGTTTTTTTTGGTCTTATTGTTATTTTTTTTAGAGACAAATTAGTTACTGCAAAGGAAAATATTACTAAGAGAGCCTGGCAGAGTGGCCCGTCAAGATCTTTGGGAGAACCTTCAAAGAGAAACGTGTTAGAGTAGTTCACATAAATTAAAGACCTTCAAATGTGAGCTACAAGCATGGAATGGAACAGCAAACCATTAAGAGAAACAAAACAGAAAATTCCAGTTGACGGGATTATAATTGCCAAAGAAAGCAGAGGTGTCAAAAAGAAGAGCTTTCAATTCCAAGGTCAAACATGCAGTAGTTACCACATTGCTCTTAGAAAAAAATAGGCAGCCAACTAGCAAAGGACATTTTAAGTTGTTAGCTACCTGGGTAAACAAAAGAAGGGCTTTCAAATTAACTTGGGGGGGATTACTAAAGAAAACCAGCAAAAATACTTTGAGCTTAAAATCCAAATGTAAGAGGCCAAATGCAAAGAAATCATAAAACAGTGACAAATGAAGGGTGACTTAAAGAGGGCAAAAGAAGTAGTAGAGTGGTTTCACTGACCTCTTCATTTAAATTGCTAACCAGGAGAACTGTATTGCCACCAGCAGAAACTCCAGGCATTCCCACCCGGCCGGCAGCAGCGGCTGCAGCTGCGGCAGCAGCATTGGGAATAGCCAAAGGACTCAGAGCTCCTGGAACAGCTGCAACAGGAAGCCCTAATTTTAAAATAAAGCATATTTTACGAAACACACACAAGTCATTTTGTACAGAAAAGTCCCTCTATCAGCACACGTGCTGCAGACAACACTCTACAGAGCAGACCATTCACTGTCAACGTCCTCCAAAGGCTTGGGGAAGGGGTTGTTAAATTCACATCAAGAAGCAAAGTGAAAATTCCTTCTTACTCAGATCAAGTCTTCAAAGAATTAAGGAGGTGTAAAAAGTACTTTCTTTTCAAATAAACATTTAGGGCACCAGAACTGTTTCTTCTGTATAGAATCATAGAATGGGTTGGGTTGGAAAGGACCTTACGATCATCCAGTTCCAACCCCCTGCCACGGGCAGGGACACCTTCCACTAGAGCAG